ATTTCAATGTATAGTTGTGAAAGCTGGACAGTGAGGAAAGCTGATAGAAGAGAATTAACTCATTTGAAATGTGGTGCTGGAGAAATTCATATGGATATGGAGACTGTTGTACTTTGAACATGTCATAATAGGAATCACTAGAAAAGACAGTAATGCTTGGTAAGGTAAAAGGCAGTAGGAAAAGAGGAAGATCGCATTCCAGATGGATAAACTCAATCAAAGAAGTCATGGCCCTGATCGTGCAAGACCTGAGCTTGGGTGTTTATGGGAGAGTAACTCCTTCTTAGGTTGCCATAAGTGGAAGTTGACTTGATGGGAGTTAACAAAACTGCCTTGGGTCCCCTGGTCAGGTGAAATGTGGCATATAGAAATGAATAAATGCTAAAACAAGACAAAAATTCAGCACACATGCACACAAAAAGCCAAGTAGCACTCTCCAAATGTTGTAGGTCATGATTTCTATTTAGGTAATTTCACACACATCCTAGCTTTTTTCAGGGATGAAACAGAAACTGGAAGCGACCGTGCAATCACTTCCTTTTAATAAAACAAGCCTTTTTGAGCCTTCCTAATAACATTTAAAGGGTAAATTAGATTCTTCCTCCAGCTTGTCTGGATACTATTTGCCATTTTTAGCATTTTCCCCAACATCAGCACCTGGAAGCAGAGGGGATATACTCCACTGCATATCTTCCAAGTGTGCCAGTTTTGCAGTGACAGTTCCAGTGAATCTTCTGTCATTTTACTTTTTCAACTATCTTTAAAATGTCCCAGTTGTCTATCCTCCCCCCACTGTCCCCTTTTGACCTCAGCTTATGTCACCTTCTGCAAATTGAAAAGTGAAAAAGTGATTTGCATTTAATTAACTCTTCAGAGAGGATAAGAAAGGAGGAGGAAGAATCTTGCATTTCCAAGTAGACCCTGGCAAAATTAAACAGCTGCAGACTTTTGCAAGCTTGTCTGTTTTTCCTGTTAATGAATATTGCTATCTAGACCACATTCTGATGTTGCTCAGTTAAATGTGCCTTGTTTTCCATCTGTGAAATGATGGCAGGTATGCTGCTGAGGTCCAGGGAGACTAACCCACTCCATACTAATCAATTGCCCACCCCTACCTCATCCCTAAAGCATAATGTGTTTATAATGCTCTCCTCATTTTTCCAACTACATATCTAGAAAGTTTTAAATTGCACAATTTTTCACTCCTGTGCATCTTGCACCCTTTTGTTTTACAGTTGTAAATATGAAATAAATGGATCCATAGCTTGGAGATTTTTTGCATGGATGAATATCATGGAACTATTTCGTAGAAATCAGATACTTGTTTTACCCTTAGCAGAGCAATGCATCTGAATCAGTTCTTCACTCTTTGTATCTCTGTCTAACGTATTTACTGTTAACAGTTCTTCAATTTTCTATCATTTTGCTATAATCCTTTTAAAAAGTGTTATCCTTTTCTACAGCAAAATTGTGCTTACTCTCTAATAACCAAAATATGTCTTGGTAATTGTTTTGCAATTGTTGCTTAAAGAAGCAAGTATGGGAAAATTACATTTTTGAACTACAACTTTAAGCAGTCTCTGCTGGCAGGGGAAGTTGGGGAGTTGTAGTCTAAAATGTGAGAGCCAGGGTGGCATAGTGATTTGATTGTTCTACTCTGACTCTGGAGACCAGGGTTCAATTCCCAGCTTGGTCCTGTAGACCCACTGGGTGACCTTGGGCAAGACACATGCTCTCAGCCTCAAGGTAAGGCAATGGCAAACCTCTTCTGAAACAAATATTGCCAAGAAAACCCCATGATGGGTCTTAGGTCACCATTAGTTGGAAATTATTTGAAGACATGCAACAAGGTTACAAAGTAACTTTCCTAAGATTTGCTTAAAAGAGATTTAATATCATGCTATTTCCCTCTGTTTAATTCAGTTATGAAAGAGATACAATATGTTAATACAGCATAAATAAACATTTTTTCACATATTTGACTCTTCAGTGTGCTCCAGTTTTTCATCCACTATTCTATTATATACCTTTTAAATACAA